CAGGCGACGAGCTAGGCCAGCGGAGAGGAGGAAAGGCGCGGGCCATGGGGAAGGCAGTGCTGGCTCTGTGGGCTAGGCCACGGAATGGGGAAGGGAGCAGAGCAGGCCGGGGGGAGAGGAGGCATGGGCCTTTGGTCCAAAATGAGAGAGGAGGTATTTCTTCTTTTTATTTTGTTTTCTTTTATTTCAAAGCACTTTTCAAACTCATTTCAAAAGCATTTGAATTTGTTTTGAATTTTGATCAAAACCACACTTCACAATAAATAAAATGCAACAGCATGTATGCTCACACATGTTACTACCTTATGATAAATTTTAATTTAATGAAAAATTATTATTTCCTATGTTTTCATGAGCACCAAATATTCATAATTAAATCATCCTAGCTATATTTTTAAAGGAGCAAATTTTAGGGTGTTACAATTAGCACGTTGGAAGGAAGTGCCAATGGTGATAACCCCTCGTGAGCCTGGCATCTTTAGCTTCAGGTAGGTGTAGTTGGGGACGACCATGAACTTCACGTAACATGGTTGTCCGAGGATGGCGTGGTAGGTCCCATGGAACCCAACCACTTTGAACGTAAGGGTCTCCGTCCTGTAGTTGGTTGGACTCCCAAAGGTGACAGGCAGATCGATCTGCCCGAGTGGCATGGCCTAGTTCCCAGGCACAATGCTATGGAAAGGCGCCCTAGTCGGTCGGACGCATGATCGGTCGATGCCCATAGCATCGAGCGTCTCGGCGTACAAGATATTGAGACCACTATCGCCGTCCATCAGCACCTTGGTAAGCCGCTTCATGCCGATGATCGGGTCAACCATGAGTGGATACCTCCTTGGTTGAGGGATGTTGTCGGGGTGGTCGGTCCGATCGAAGGTGATGGTGGACTCTGACCACCGGAGGAAGGCGGGCGCGGTAGGCTCGGTCATGTAGACCTCACGACGCACTAACTTTCGCCAGTGCTTGGAGTCGTAAGCCGTGGACCCCCCGAAGATCATGAGGAAGCCGTCGGGGGTCGAGAAGCCATCATCCTTCTGGTTGGCGTCGTCCGCCATTGGCTTGGGGTCTCTTCTCGGCTCTCCTTTGTTGGTGTCGTCGAACAAGAACCGTTTCATAAGGGCACAGTCCTTGTACAGATGCTTGACGGGGAAGGCATGGTTCGGGCATGGCCCTTCGAGCAACTTCTCAAAGTGCTCGGGGCGCCCTCGGTGGGCTTCCGACCCCCTTTACAATCAGCAGCGGCCACGAGCGAGCTTTTTGCGCCCACTGCTTGTTCTTCTTCTTATGGGGACGGTTGGAGGCGCCTTCGCTAGCGTCGTTGTCCCGCTTTGCCTTGCCCTTGGAGCGGTCGAAGATAGCTCTGATCGCCTCCTCGCCCGAGGCATGGCTGGTGGCGATGTCGAGGAGCTCCTTGATGGTCCTCGGACCCTTGCGGCCCAACTTGTGGACTAGGGACTCGCGGGTGGTCCCAGATAAAAGGGCTCCGATGAGGTCAGCGTCGGCGATGTTGGGCAGCTCGTTGCACTGCCGGGAGAAGCGCTGGATGTACTCACAGAGAGTTTCTCCAAACTTCTGCCAGTAGTTTTTGAGGTCCCATAGGTTTTCGAGGTGCACGTAGGTGCCCTAGAAGTTGCCCACAAAGATCTCCTTCAGGTCCGCCCAACTGTGGATGCGATTGGACGGAAGGTGCTCCAACCGTGTTCGCGCCGAGTCGGCGAGAAATAGGGGGAGATTGCGGATAATAAAGTTATCATTATGATCGCCACTGGCCTGGCAAGCAAGCCGATAGTCCTCGAGCCATAGCCCGGGGTTTATTTCCCCGAAGTACTTTGGGACGTTGGTCGGTGGCCGGTATCATGGCGGGAAGGGTGCATTGAGGATGTGCCGGCCAAAGGCCTGAGGCCCCAGTAGGTTGGGGCTTGGGCTTCGGTCCTCGCTGCTGTCATAGCATCCACCACGACGAGGGTGGCAGCCACGGCTGGCCCCCTCTCTCTTGCCGTTGTGGGCACGCCTGCGGCCGTTCAAGGTGTCACGGGCATCGCGATTGCGGCCGAGGCGCTCACGCACCGGGACCACAACCCGCTGTCCATCGTTGCGCGGTGCCTGGTGGATGGAGACATCCATGTCGCATAGCCCTAAGGGTGCATGGTGACCAACATCAAGCTCGTGTCGTCGGGACAATGAGCTCTCTGTTTGCTGCACCGCGGCACGCTCGAGTAATGTGCAGATCTCTCGCTGAGCCCGACGGTCCTCAGGCGTCGTAGGCTTAGGGAGCCCTCGGAGAAAGGCTTCCACGACCACTATGTTTTGGCTCGCTCGGGCAAAACACGAGAGGCCCCCATCGTCCTCGATGATCATCTGGTTCATCTCGTGGGCCCTGGCGTGCGCGCGTCCGCTGTCTCCCTATTGTGCGATCTCCTGCTCGAGCTCTGCATGTTCGTGCTTGAGTTGGAGCCATGCCTCCTTGAGCTCCTAGCATCGCGCTAGTAGCTGCTCCTCCCGCATGTGTGGAAAAGCCCTCGCGCCTTCATCATCGTCGTCGTCGCGCCCTTCGGGTGTCTCCGCCATGAAGCATTCCCGCGAGGGGTGGTATCTCCCCCTGCTGGGGTTAGAGTCAGAGAACAACTCTGAATCTCCCGCGATAACATCGTGGAATGATTCCGTGACATACTCTATCATCCCTATGAACTCGTTGTTCGCAAGGGGTGAGTGGACGTGTTGTGCCATGAGGTGGCCAGCGGTCCATGCAGCATTGTGTAGGCCAAACAAGAACGCCATCGCGGCGCCCTAGGTGAGACATTTTGGGGCAAGCGGCTCCGCTCCCGCGAGCTGCATCATGACGTTGGAGAAGGAGACGGTGAGGCAACACAGGTCCTCCTAGGACGGTCGTGGTCCTAGGAAGGCAGCGAACTGGCGCTCAAGCCTCCCATAGTCGAAGTCAAGGAGCTAGTCGCTCCCGAGGATGCAGGCCTCCAGTGCGTGCAGCTGTAGCTCCTCGAATGCCTCATCGATCGCGATCAAGGCTGGTGGAGTGGAGAGGCTAGGCAGTGGCGGGAGCCTATGCCAGCTCTCGCTCCATCGTGATGGTGAAGTCTAGGCTCCCAAAGTGCACATGCGCGCCCAGGACCTAGCTGATGCCGTGGCTGGCCATCCGAAGCCGGATGATGATGTTGAGACGCGCAAAAGGCCCCTACCTGGCACGCCAACTGTCGAAGTTTTGAGTCGCCAACAAGTAAATTTGTGGATTAGGCGTCTGGCTTAGATAGTGTGCTTAGAGGACACGAGGTTTATACTGGTTTGGGCAGAAAGTCCCTATGTCCAGTTCGTCGCTGCTGCCCGTGTTACTAGCGCTGAAGGTTTGTAGTAGGGGTTACAAACGGGCGAGAGAGGGAAAGGATCCTAAGTCTCTGGTGTGTGCATATGCTGCTAAGGCGTATCGAGTCGTGTTCAGTCGTGTACAGCCATGCCCTTCATGGGGTGTCCTGCTTCCCCTTTTATAGGTGAAGGGGAAGAGCAGGTTACAGAGAGAAAGAGGGAGAAGAGCCAAGGAGAGGAAGGCCTCTAGGACTACCGAGCCTTTCTTCTCCTTTATGCGGGTCCCACCGACACTACAGATGGTGACAGGGACGGCTCCACGCTGGGCGCCTGTTCACTGCTGATGCCACGCCCCAGCGTTATCAGCGGGTCGTGATGTCCCATTCCGTCCCGGTGGGCGACGCGGCGAACTAGCGTGCTGGTCAGCGGCCGTACAGGGAGTAGGCAGCATAGTGACCACACGTCCATCACTGTTGGTGATGTGAATTCCCTAGAGTGACATGTCACGGGCACGGGTTATGTCGAGATGTGCCCGCTCCCTGCACGGTGCCAGAAGTTTGACTTTGGGTTGTACTTTCTGGCCCGTAGTGGTTTACGGCGGTACGGGCTTCCGTTGGGAGTTGCGCCTGAGGGGTCAGGCGAGATAGAGCTCCTAACCCTGAGGTTGGGCGAAGCGGAGCCCCCGACCCAGTGGCCGGACGAGGCGGAGCCTGCCCCCAGTGGTCGGGCGAGACGGAGCCCCCGACCCAGAGGTCGAGCGAGGCGGAGCCCCCAACCTAGAGGTCGGGTGAGGCAGAGCCCTCGACCCAGAGGTCGGGTGAGGCGGAGCCCCCGACCGAGAGGCCGGGCGAGGCGGAGCCCGCCCCCATTGGTCGGGTAGGGCAGAGCCCTCTACCTAGAGGTCGGGCAAGGCGGAGCCCTCGACCCAGAGGTCAGGTGAGGCAGAGCCCCTGACCCAGAGGCCGGGCAAGGCGGAGCCCGCCCCCAATGGTCAAGCAGGGCGGAGTCACCGACCCAGAGGTCGGGTAAGGCGGAGCCCACCCCCTAGTGGTCGGGCGAGCCGGAGCCCATGCCCCAGTGGTCGAGCGAGGCAGAACCTGCGCACCTAGGGGTCGGTTGGAGCTGTAGTCGCACACTTGACTGCTCGGGTGAATCAATATTGATGACCATTACCTCCTCCTCTTCGGGTACCCAAGTATTGGTCCCCAACAATGATACGAACCAATAGAAGCCTCAACTGCAGTAAAGTCTCCAAGGGCATCAATGCCCGTTTGTAGCTCCAACCGACCCTAACAATATGTTTCAGTGCTGGTTGATGCTACCATCCAAATTTTAGAAAATCTTTGAAATTTTTAAATGATTTTAGACAAAGAAATGTCATGGTCAAAATTTGTAGTTTTATCGGAGAGTAAAATGCACTGGAAGTCCATTAACTTTCGTTGGGGTGTTATCTAGGTCCATCAACTTTAAAACTGCATTTTTGGGTCCATTAACTTTCGTTTCATGTCATCTAGGTCCATCAACTTTAAAACTGGTTCATAAACTTTTAAAATGATTCATTGAAGGTCCACGCATGCATGATGCATTGCGTGCGTACAACAGTGAACCATTTTAAATAAATGTGCGCGGATCACGATCACGCGCGCGTGGCGCCGGCCGACGACGCCCACCACCACCCGGAGCTCTTCTCAGCGACATTCCCGTCTTCTTTCACGGGCAGTGCGCCGTCCAAACTGCCATTCGTGTCGTCGAAGCTCCTCTGGTTCTTGGCCGTGCCGTCGTCGCCGCCAACGGTCTCCTTCGACTGTCGGTGTCTCCTTGGTGCTGTTGTTAGCCTGGCCGCCGGCGTTGTTATCGTCAGTGGTGGATGCCTCCTCCTGGACAGTGTTGTCAGCCTGAACGCCGGTGCTCTTGTCGTCAGTGGACGCCTCCTCTTCGCTCTTGTCAACCTGGCCGCCGGTTTCGTTCGTGCTCTTGTCGGTGTTCTTCTCGTCTTGATCCCGTCCGCTTGTGGTGGTGGTGGTGTTGTTGCTGCCATCGATGGCCGTCTGCTCATTCATTCCAACCACGCCGACCAACTGCTACAACAACAGCTTTAGGCCGATCGATGCATGCGTGCTTGCACACTTGCTCATCGACGACCTCTCCTTCGTAATGCAGTAGAACCCAAAAAAGATTCGCTATGTACAGCTAGCTAAGGGATGTAGCAGCTATAGATGAGAATGAGACCGCGACCGGGCGGCTCCTGGTCACGGCTCGGCTCGGGATTTGGCGGTCGTCACGGACGGGGTCGGTCTTGGTGTCGCCGGAGTCGGACTGCGCCACCGTATTCGGTTGGAGAGGGAGAAGACGAGCTCCTTCATGTCGGAGTTGGACGAGCGAAAATGCGCCAGGATCTTGCTGAACTTGGGCTTCTTTCTTGTGATGGCGATGGACACGTCGTTGGGGAAGAGGTCCCTCAGCACGAAGGCGTGGAACACCGTGGTCACCAGCAGCCCGGCGACGGTGACGTTGGAGATGCCCGCGAGCCCGATGGAGAGCGCCCGGGTCAGCACGTTGGTCACCTCCGTCGCGTACGTGATGGTCGCCACGGACGCGCCGGTCATCGGGAACGTGTACGCCCACCACGCCAGCGAGAAGCGGAAACCCCGGAAGAAGTTGATGCGCACCGCCTGCGATGCGAGGGATATCATCATCATCATCATCATCGAACGCAAATGTGCTAGCTACGTGGTGGATGCGTCACGACGAACCGGAGTACGACGTACCAGTGACATGTAGAGGTGGGCGCCCAGCAGCGCCCAGGAAGTTGCCGACGATGGAGAGGTGGTTGGACGGGTTGGCCACCTTGGACAGCCGGCGCTGCCCGCCGGACATCCACTGCCCGTAGATCTTGAGCTCCAGGCAGAATATGGGCGCCATCACCGCGTACCACACGCCGTGGTGCATCTCCGCCACCAGCCGCGGCGCGCCCAGCACCAGGAACAGGCACGCGATCCACGGCGCGAAGAAGTTGGCGCGGACCGGGTGGTAGAACTCGCGCCGCACTCGCGTACCACAGCACGTGGTTCACCACGGGGCTCACGTGCAGGAACGCCGTCGGCGCCGCCGACGCCAGCGTCTTCCACAGGATGGCCTGGCTGCTCACGCCCAGGCACATACCGAACGCACTGATGGGGAACCGCAGCAGGAATGGCCACTTCTCGTCTTTCGGCAGCACCGGCACCTCCGTGGCCTGTAACACACGAAAGCTTGTGTTACTTGTTTATCAAAATGAACGGGAAAAAAAGCGCTTGCTGATTAGTGCTTACCCTGAGCGTGTCGAGCTCGGGTCCTTCCAAGGCGTCGAAGTAGCGGTCGGCGGCGGGGACCTGGTCGGTCTCCTCCTCGGAGATCTTCGAGTCCGGGGATATGCCGTCGACGGGCTCCTGCGGGCGGCCGCGCAGGTTGGACAGCTGGCGCTCGAGGCGGCCGGAGAAGGTCTTGAACGGGTCTAACCGCTTGTCGCGCGTGCTGCTGCCGTCGCCCCGCCGTGCCTCGTCGACGACGTTCTTGGACGACGACGGGTGCAGGTTCAGGATGGGCTGCGAGTGGAACCGCGTCTGCTTGATCAGCCGCGGCGAGTGCACGGCCTCCGGCACCTGCTGCTCCTCCACCGCCACCGGGTGGTGGTGGGCGTCGTCGGCCGGCGCCACGCGCGCGTGATCGTGATCCGCGCACATTTATTTAAAATGGTTCACTGCTGTACGCGCGCAAAGACCGGAGGCCAAAGCCGACGTGCATGCATGAGGCCGAAGCTGACGTGCATGCATGCATGCGTGCCTACAGTGAATCATTTTAAAAATTCATAGACCCAATAATATAGTTTTAAAGTTGATGGACCTAGATGACACGAAACCAAAGTTAATGGACCCAAAAATACAGTTTTAAAATTGATGGTCATATATAACACCCCAACGAAAGTTAATGGACCTGCAGTGCATTTTACTCTTTATCGGATTAACTATACAAAATAGCTAACAGCCCAACCCAACTAGGGCCTGGCCCAATAATCCTAACCCAGGGCCCAGGCCCGCTTCTGCAGCCCTTTCCCTTCACGTTGTCTCGGCGCTTCCTCCGGTGCTGTGTGTTCCCTGCAGTGAACTCCTCTCCACCGTTCCCCTTCCCCTGGCGCGGGTTTGCCTCGCAGATTCTTCAGCTGGGCGACCAAGCTAGGTCTCCCTGCGCACCAACCGCCGGCAACGACCCGAGCCTGGACCGCACCGTCTTCGCGCGGCTGCTAGCTCTACTATTGCTCTGGCGTTGAGTCCGCACCGGAGGTAGATCTTTCCAGCCTTAATTCTAGAACTTGATTACTACGGATTTTATATTCTTATAATCTTTTTTTTAGGGAACCAGCAGGGAAGATCCCTACCTATTTTTTGCCATTTCAATTAAAATGTACAGAAAGAATACAAACAAACAAATGTACAAGTTACAAGGCTTCCACAGCCCAAAGAAAGAGAAGAAAGAAAAGTTACAAATGGTTCTCTCTCCACAAGCTAAGGGGTTCTGAGATGCTTTTCTTGGCCTTGATACACACCAAGCCAAGTTCCTCCTTGAGAGCTGCTTTCCAGTCAGCTAGTGAACAAGCTTTGTTGTCAAAGATGATCCCATTTTGAGCATTCCAAATCATCCAACAAGCAGTGATGAAAATCTTTCTGAAAATATGATTGCCAAATGTTGTTCGAGCATGGATGATCATGTCCAATGGCTGCATGGATAGTGCGCAATGAATGCCACTCAAGCTCCAGCAATCAGAGCTGAAGGGACACTCGAAAAAAAGGTGGAAGGTGGATTCTTCATAGCTGGTGCTGCATAAGACACAGGAGTAGTTTTCCAAAAACATGTTTTCCTTCTCAAGAGGTTTCTAGTGTTTAGTCTGTCTTTGATTAGAAGCCAAGCAAAAAACTTATGTTTACCCAGATTACCTGATTTCCATATCCAAGTGAAGAGGGGGGAGGCCTCTACGGTGCCTTGGAGAAAAGTATAAGCTTTCTTTGAAGAAAAGCTAGAACCCCAACTGTATGTCCAATTATCATTCAAAGTGTGATTCCTATCACTGTTGAAAACAATCTCTTGTAAAGCACTGAGCTGATCTGAGGCTTGAGAGGACAGAGGAAGGAAAAACACTCTGTTGGGGTCATTACCAACAAAGAATTTGAGGGAGCACTTTGGCTTTTTGATGAAAGAGAACAAGTGAGGTGAACTGATCTCAAGGGGTTGGCCTGTCCAATTGTCATTCCACAACCAGAGTTGACATGGTAGACTGCAAAAACTTTAAATTTTCCAAATAACTTTATAATTTCTTTCCACCAAAAAGATCCACTTGGATTTCTGGCATGAGGGGGGTATTATCATTGGTGTACAGCTTCAACCAAGTGACTTTGACCCAAGGTATATCTGCATGATTGTAGAATTTATCTAGAAACTTCATGAGAAAGGCTGTGTTTTGATTTTTCATATTGATGATGCCAAGGCCACCTTCTCCTTTGGGTCTGCAGGCTAGATCCCAAGCAGCCAGACAAATTCACTTCCTGTTGATATCCCCCTTACTCCACAAGCAGTGTTTTCTGAACTTATCAATTTGTTGAATAACTGTAGGAGGAATTAGAAGGCTGCATGTAATATTCTCGGTGTTACACCGTAAATCACTTACTAAAACATGTCATAAGCATCATGTTTAAATGTTATTGCATGTGATAGTATGAACAAGTGAAGCAGTGTAATTTAAACCAACAGTAGAAACTTAGAATGAAAGGATGTTCGTAAAATTTTATTGAACGAAAATACTATAGAACATATATACGGAATCTTAATAAAGTTGGAAGTACAAACTTTGTAGATGACAATAAATACTTGTTGTTGAAAAATATTATTGTTAGATGGTATTTCTAGTAGCTTAGAAATGGAACTTTGATTAAAAATTCAGCCCAAGACTTATTAGCAAATTTTCAAAGTTGAAGACGGGTGACAATGCTATATTAGTAAGTTAATTCTGAAAAAATTAACTAAAGGCTTGTGCTATATTTTTGCTTGGTGGGTTGCATCCAAGTGAGTACTTATCAACGGTATAGGGGTTGGTTTAGTTAGTATTTGTTTGGGTCATCAATTAATTGCTACAAAAAGCTAGAAAATGCTCTTTGGGCGCCAGTTGACAGCACCAACTTGGCATGCTCATATTTTCTTCTCTAATCTACCTTGGCCCATGTATATTGCTCCATTCAATAGCCCTAGGTACCATCTTCTGCTCGGCCAGGTTGGTTGGGTCATAACCAAGCTAGATGGGTCGTGGTTGAAGCTTTAAAAACCGTGCACAACATGTTTTCGGTCAGTTTCCTCGCGTAGGCGCAGTCACCACACCCTGAGCCATGACGTCGACGCGCCGGCCATGCCATGCGCGCTGGCGCGCGCGCTGGTCACGCTTGGCGGCACTTGTGTGGTCGATGACTTGACTTGGCGTAGCTGCCCACCACCTTTTGCCGCATTGTCGCTCGTCACGCCACGCCACAAAGACGTTGCCGTCACATCCGCTTTGCGGCGTCTGCTGGCGTTGTCTGCATGCATGACGCGCCGGCTCGTCGTTTCACCACTACCACTACCATCGCTTATCGCACGTGGCGTCTGCTGGGCCGCCGTGGCATCCGCGTGAGTGCTAGTGCACCATTCCCCAACCACCCGGCTTTATGCGCGCCGAGCCGACCTCGGTTCCCTTTCCTCTCCGTGTTGTTTCCACCGTCGTGGCATCGTGGCCAATTCGGTAGGGAAGGGTCACCTCGTGTCGATTCGTCGTGTCTGTAGCTCTGCCTTTAACCCACCTGCTTGACCGACCCCACTCTGTTTTGAATCGCCCCGGCCAGGTTCCAATTTTGGAGTTCTTCTCCGCCGAGCCGTTATAGCCATGGCCGGCCGGCATGGTTGGTAACCCCACTCTAGCTGCCTTTCGAGCTCAACCTGTTGCACCAACCAGCTCGCCTCAACTTCCTCATCACCCTGCGCCCTTCACCCGAACCTCTACCACCTCACTGCTGTCGCTGACGCGGTCGTGTCTGCGCGACTCACCACCGAGCTCGTCGTGCACACGTGGCCAGCCCGCCCTGGTCTTCCTCCGCTTCAACCATCATCGCCGCTGGGTTCGCGGTAAACCACTGATGCTTGTGTGTGGGTTGTTTAGGCTCTAGTGGCCACAGCTCACCGAAACGCCCTTGTCAAGGCCGCAGGATTCGCGCCGGCGTGGCCAGGCGTTGCTACGACGTCCCAACCCGTGTTTTCACCGCCCATCGACTCGCATCGGTGTCTAGGTGAGCACTAGCCCCTTAGATAGGGCAGGAGAGGTTCCGGTCGGTCGGCGGGGGTTGCTAGTGCCATCAGCCATTGCGCCGACACGTGCGGCCAGGGCAATGACCTCTCCGTTGCGAAGGAGAGAAGGAGCGAGGGTTTTGTTGCAAAGCCGAAGTCTGTTGAAATAGTGCACATAGTGTTAGTAGTATTATCGGAGAACGCGAGAGTATTTTTGCAAGATGGTCGACGCGCGCACGGACTCCCCCATCGTGGGCCGCCTCGCGTGGGCCGCGCCTGAGTTGGGCCGCGTGGGCTGGTGCACCTGTTTCTCTTTTTCACAAATTAGTTAATGCTTTTCTATTTTATTTCTGAGCTAAATTTGTATAATCAATATAAATTCGTGTATGTGTCCAAAAATTATGAAATAAATTTTGTTAGATTCATAAATTTATGATTTATCTGTTAGTATATTTAGTTCATATATTTCTGTGGTATCTTTTGGGTTAGTTTATTTATTTAGAATGCTTGTTATTATTATGATTATTTAGAGAATGAATTTTTGTGATAAAATGGTAGAAATGCTAGCTTTGAAACTTTTATAGTAGGTTCATTAGATTATTATATGCTCACTATAATTTTTGTAGCCTTAGAATAGGTTGAGAAATAGGGTAGCTAAGTAATCCTTCTTTTAGTATATATATTGAATCGGTAATAAGAATAAGGATGCCTTTAGTTGCGAGGGTAAGGCTTGAAATGTTTCATACCTGTTTAGTGGGAATAATATGTAACTTAACGTCTTAGTCATTAGAGCCAGCTTAGTAGCTTGGTAGACGTATTCTTATTTTAGGAGTTGCTGTTGACGTATTACTAAGTGTTGCATCATCATTTCATGCATGTAGATAACGAGTTGGTAGAGTTCGTGACCGCGGGCGAACAAGAGTACGAGGAGGTTATCGAGGAATACGAGGAGGAGGTCCTCATTCACGAGGGAGCCCCGGAGCCACCAGCTGCTGACTTTGCTGACACCTCGCCTGCCCAAGGCAAGCTCCGGTGCATAACCTTTATTTTTGAAATGGTTATTGAATATATATATCGTAAATAGAGGTTATAGTAACTCCTACCCTATAGCTGGCTACAAAATAACTTATTCTGTAGCCACTTTGAGTTACGATAATTACTATATTAATTTATGAGATTATAGTAACTCCTTACTAGGTGGTTTACTATAACGTTATGGTAAATATCAACATGTATTATAGTAACCCAACTATCGTAAATATGTATCGACATTATCATAAATTAGTATATAAAATTATCGTAAATAGAGGTGGCTACAGAATAACTTATTTTGTAGCTGGCTACTGAATATACTCTCTCATATATATTCCTACCTATGAGTCCT